GTCTATTTGATGAGCGAGATTTGGTCACCACTTATCAAATATGAGGCATTCTGCATATTGATATTATCATTGTATTATATAGTTCATTTTCGATGCTATACAGCTTTCTCTATAATTGTGGAATCATCTACAACTCTGTTCATCAAACATTTATTTATACATCATCTTAACCCCTTAACAATAACTGAATAAGCCTTAACAATAAGGCTTATTATTCAGTTACTACAGGGACTCCAATGCAAACTAAAGGAGCTATTCTTAGGTTATAGAAGTGTGTAATAACAGGCCCATGGCTTGTTAAGGGGTTAAATCAATTTAAATGAGGAAGCTGTAAATGTTGGCGCCCGGTTGTACTAATTTAATGCATATAACTGCAACAAAACTGGATTTCTGTTGTTGAAAACTTCTTTATTATGGAAAAATGTGAGTCGTGCAGAGGAGCCTAAATAAACCGTGTAAATATAAACCGTAGCAGCCTGAATAGAGGTGTGTTTTCGTCTCGTTCTGTCGCGTGTTCTTTAAAACACTGACGTCACCTTGAGGGGGCGCCGCAGTCGGTCCTGAGATGAATGCACAATAAATAACAGCTCTCTCTCTCTCTCTTTCTCTCTCTCTCTCTGTCTCTCTCTCTCTTATACCCATACACACACTCACCTGGCTCTCGCTCCACCGTGTGTGTAATCTAGTGGCCTGGAGCTCCAGCTGTGAATCTACACGCACATAAACACACATACACACCACTGCAAGGCTTAAATCAAATCAAATCAAATCAATATGCTATTACCATCAATCACAGAGCTATTAGGAATTTACTAAGACGTGCGCTCAAAAGACAACATGAAAACATCAAAACCTCCATTCATATGACTAAACAGGACAGTACATTTAAAACATTTTATATACGCTGTAAACATATGATTCAAACACAGTGAAACACTAATATATACACTGTTTTGCATAAAAAGGTCAAAAGTACATATCAGCTGTCTGAAAGTCTGAATTTTCTGTGTTTATAGATAACAGTGAGTCATACAGTGTCTGGAACCACATAATCAAGTCTGTTAGAGATACTGAACACCCCCACATGATGACTGATGATTAGGCATTCGGTTAGCACCATGCTAACTGGTGTACATAAGCTTCCATTACTTATTAGCTTTGTTATCTCCAGTGTAAAACTGAATAAGCAACCATGGACAGATCAACTAGATTTGGGTTCAATAAACAGTAATAAACAAGAGCAATAAACAGTCACGTTTGTGATTTATGGGACAGTGTGTTTTACTGGGTATTATGGGGACAATGTTCCAGTTAATATAGGACACTGTGTTAGGGATTATGAGGAAAACATGTTATAGGTAATATGGAGACAGTATCTTAGTTATTATGGGACACTGTCTGGGATTATGAGGACATCATGTTATAGGTAATATGGGGACAGTATGTTAGGTATTATGGGACACTGGGATTATGAGGACAGCATGTTATATGTAATATGGGGACAGTATGTTGGGTATTATGGGACACTGGGATTATGAGGACAGCATGTTATAGGTAATATGGGGACAATATGTTAGGTATTATGGGTCACTGTCTGGGATTATGAGGACAGCATGTTATAGGTAATATGGGGACAGTATGTTAGGCTTTGTGGGATGCTGTGTGGGATTATGAGGACAGCATGTTATGTAATACAGGGACAGTATGTTGGGTATTATGGGACACTTAAAGATTAAGAGGACAGTATGTTATTTGTAATATGGGGACAGTATGTTAGGTTTTTGTGGGACATCATGCTAGGGATTATGAGGACAGCATGTTATAGATAATACAGGGACAGTGTGCTAGGTATCATGGGGCACTGTGCTAGGGATTATGAGGACAGCATGTCAGGCATTGTAGGACATCATGCAAGGGATTTGTAGGTAACATGGGGGCAATATGTTAGGTATTGTGGGACATTGTTAGGGATTATGAGGACAATGTGTTATAGGTAATGTGGGGACAGCATGTTAGTTTTTGTGGGACACTGTTAGGGATTATGAGGACAGCATGTCATGGATAATACAGGTACAGTATTTTAGGTAGTATGGGGACAGTGTTAGGTATTGTGGGACACTGTTAGGGATGAGGACAGTGTGTTATAGGTAATGTGGGGACAGTATGTTAGGTATTGTGGGACACTGTTAGGGATGAGGACAGTGTGTTATAGGTAATGTGGGGACAGTATGTTAGGTATTGTGGGACATTGTTAGGGATTATAGGGACAGCATGTTATAGGTAATGCAGGGACAGAATGTTAGGTACTATGGGACACTGTATTAGATATTATGAGGACAACATGTTATAGGTAATATGAGGACAGCGTGTTATAGGTAATGTGGGGACACTATGTTAGTTTTTGTGAGACACTGTTAGGGATTATGAGGACAGCATGTCATGGATAATACAGGGACAGTATGTTAGGTAATATAGAACGCCGTGTTAGGGATTATGAAGACAGCATGTTATAGGTAGTATGGGGACAGTATTCTAGGTTTTGTGGGACACTGTTTGGGATTATGAGTGTAGCATGTTATAGGTAATGTGGGGACAGTATGTTAGGTATTATGGGACACTGTATTAGGGATTATGAGGACAGCATGTTATAGGTAATGCAAGGACAGTATGTTAGATACTAATGGACACTGTTAAGTATTATGAGGACAACATTATAGGTAATATGAGGACAGTAGTTTGGGTATTAAGGGATGCTGTTTTAGGCATTATGAGGACAGCTTAAGGTATTGTGAGACACTCTGTTAGGTATTATGGGAACTTGTCTTATTGTGTCATATAGGTAATATGAAGATAATATGTTGGGTATAATGGGACCTCATCATGAGGACAGTGTGTTAGGCATTATGAGGACAGTGTGTTAGGCATTATGAGGACAGTGTATTAGGCATTATGAGGACAGTGTATTAGGCATTATGAGGACAGTGTATTAGAGTAATTATGGGGAAAATGTGTTACATATTATGGGAGAATGTGTTGTATATTGTTCTAATTAGAACATTTTTGAAAATGGTTCTATATAGCATCAAAAAGGGTTCCTCTATAAGAGTGTAGCATTGGGAAAATGTATTATGGGAACATTGCATTAGGTATTATGGGGATAGCATGTTGGGTATTATGGGGACACTGTTATGCGTAGGTAGTGGTCTGTTGGGAATTAAGGTATTAATCTAATATTAGTATATTAGAATATTACATTATGGGGACACTGTTAGGGATTATGCAGACAGTGTATTGGGACTTATAGGACAGTATGTTCGGTAATATAGGACAGAGTGTTGGGTATTACAGGCCGATGCTTTTGGTCATATGAGGCTTTTTCACTCTGTCAGCCTTTTTACTGTATTTCCTTAGTTGTGTAGAGTCAGCTAATTTAGAATGATACTCTAGTAACTAGAAACTGGAACAAACAGGTATTTCTTAAAGTGCCCCATATTACAGGATGTCCCATAACACCTGAGTCCTCTTAATGTAGGACAGTGAATAAAGTATTACAGGACAGTGTGTTAGATATTATAGCACAGCGTTTTAGGTCATATAGGACGTTTTTACATTGAGGTGTTCTGTTGGCTCTGTTACAGAATACAGTAGGAAACAGCTGAAACTAGCATCAATGTCATTTTTTAATAATTTTGAAATAAAAAGGTGTTATTTATTACATGACTAGAGATGGCATATCAGTACTGATGGGTTTTGTTGTTGGGCTGATATCAGCAGAAAAAGCTGGGCGGGAAAAAAAGAATGAATGTGATCCAGTTCTGTAATAAATCTCTTCTCATTCACACTATGCAATGTGATGTTAGCTGTCTAGTTCTTCTGGGATTAACAGAGTGAATGAGTAGTTTCGGCATCTCAGGCTGCTTTTAGACGCTTGTGTTAAGTGAAGTGACTCAGTTGAAAATAGCTAATTTTAGCCTCTTACATGGCTAGGGCCCAAAGTTCTATTACACATGTCTATAACCTAAGAATAGCTCAGTTATTTGCATTGAAGTCCCTGTAGTTACTGAATAATAAGCCTTCATATGTATGTTTTTTTTTTTTTATGAAAATATTGAATTGGGCTTTCAACATAAGTTTTGGGTAACACTTTATTTGGAGGGCTCCTTTGTAGATGATTTATAAACTCTTAACAGATTATCAGTAACACATCAACAACATATCAGTGAAGTATCAGTAGTGAAGCATCTCAATACACTGAACTAAATATCTTGATGTTCTGTTGAAACATTACTTACGTTAAGTATTTGTATTGTCAGTATGTTACTTCCAATATGCTAGCCTAACCCAACCTTACCCAAAACCTAACCCTAGTCCTGGCCCTAATCCTATCCTTAACCTTAACCTCAACCCAAAACCTAACCCTAACCGTCATATGTTTTTGATGTGTAACTCAGAGTCCATGAATGTTTGTTTCATTTAAAAAAGACCACTCAAAATAAAGCGTCACCCGGTTTTGGTATCGGAAAACACCTAATCCGCCTATTATAGGACAGCATGTTAAGTATTGTGGGACAATACGCTACGGAAATATCGGACGTCCATTCTTTTTTACAATTCCCCACTGAAACGTTTAATCAATTAAAATGAATGCAAATGAAGTTAAATGTTGTTTCTTAAATATCTTAACGTGAAGTACATCCTTTTTATAATTCTTTCAGGACCAAGGAGAGCTCCTGCACAGTTTGGCAGCCAGAGGGCGCCAGATACAATCATGCACACAAGCATGTGCCCACACACATAAAGCACTGGAGTTTAGGCACCGGTGGTCACTGTATGTCCGGTGCGTGCTAGGATTAGGTGTGGACAGTTGCTCAGCACGGTTTGGTTAGCTTAACACTATATGTCTTAAGATTTAGTCTAGCTTACTTTTATCGCAATGATTATGTGTGAGTAAGAGAGTGAGGGAGAAAGAGAGAGGGAGAGAGGGAGTGGGGGGGGAGAGAGAGATGGAGAGAGTGGGAGGGATGGTATAGCGCCATGCACACGCAAACAGAAGGCTTTTTTTATCCGATGCAGGTTGACTCTCGTTGGGGGAACACCGGTGTGGATGGTAGTGTTGCCCTCAGGACGTTTCCCCTTTAAGGATGAGCAGAGGTTGGTGTGTGTGTGTGTGGGTGGGTGAGCGTGTGTGTGTGTGTGTGTGTAAGTAACCTTGCGGTGTAATCTCACGCCTCTCCGGATCTGGACTCGTCTCCTATGGCCGTGGATAAGATGATGTCTCCGCCGTGGAGGAGTCTGAAGAATATGAAGTGCTTTTCTCCGGTGATGTGCCAGTGCAAACTAATATGCAGCAACAGGACCCTCTCGCTAATGTTCGGCTGCAAGGTGAGCTCAGTGTGTGTGTGTGCGTGTTTGGCAGGCTGGTGCGGTTTGGGCTGAGCCATATGGACAATTCAGGGTTCAGCTGTTTAAACCAAATGAGGGCTGCGCTGGAGGAGAGCAGTGGAGGGAGACGCACACAGCCGGAGATGATGAATGGAGAAGCGTGTGTGTGTGTGTGTGTGTGTGTGTGTGGGAGAGAGAGAGAAATGGTGGACTGTTCACATCTGCTGACTGTGCTTACATCCTCATGTAGAGGTTTAATATCCCTGGAGCTGTTGCTGGGTAGGGAGATGGGGTAGGAACAGAGGCCCATGGTGCACATACATTTTTTAGATTATATTTCATTCTTATTTTAATTATTTTAGTCTTATGCATATGAATTGTACAGTATGTTAAGTTCAGATATTTTATAGCTTTTTCTTGCATGTATTAAATGGGGCATATAGACATGACTGTAAATATGGGTAAACATTAAACAGGAAAACACAGGGCAGTAGAGCTGCAGACAGGGAGCTAGAAATGGGAGAAGGAGCAGTAAAGGATGGAGTTGGGGCAATAGAGGTACAGAATGGAATGTAGAGGGATAGATGGGGCAAGAAAAGGGGGAGATGAGAAAGTAGAGGGGGAGATGGGGCAGTAGAAAAGGAGATGGGGCAATAAAGGAGGAGATGGGGCAGTAGAGAGGGAGATTGGAAAGTGGAGGGGGGGATGAGAAAGTGGAAGGGGACATTGGAAAGTAGAGGCAAGGTAGGAAAGTAGAGGGGGAGATGGGGAGGTAGAGGAGGAGATTGGGCAGTGGAGGGGGAGATGAGAAAGTAGAGGGGGAGATGGGGCACTAGAGGGGGAGATGGGGCAGTAGAGGGGGAGATTGGAAAGTGGAGGGGGAGATGGGGCAGTAGAGGGGGAGATTGGGCAGTAGAGGGGGAGTTGGGGCAGTAGAGGGGGAGATTGGAAAGTAGAAGGGGAGATGAGAAAGTAGAGGGGGAGATTGGGAAGTAGAAGGGGAGATGGGGCAGTAGAGGGGGACATTGGAAAATAGAGGGGGAGATAGGGCAGTAGAGGGGGAGATTGGGAAGTGGAGGGGAGATGGGGCAGTAGAGGGGGAGATTGGAAAGTGGAGGGGGAGATGAGGCAGTAGAGGGGGAGATTGGATAGTGGAGGGGGAGATTGGGAAGTAGAGGGGGAGATTGGGCAGTAGAGGGGGAGTTGTGGCAGTAGAGGGGGAGATTGGAAAGTGGAGGGGGAGATGAGGCAGTAGAGGGGGAGATTGGGAAGTAGAGGGGGAGATGGGGCAGTAGAGGGGGAGATTGGGAAGGGGCAGTAGAGGGGGAGATTGGGAAGTAGAAGGGGAGATGAGGCAGTAGAGGGGGACATTGGAAAATAGAGGGGGAGATAGGGCAGTAGAGGGGGAGATTGGGAAGTGGAGGGGGAGATGGAGCAGTAGAGGGGGAGATTGGAAAGTGGAGGGGGAGATGAGGCAGTAGAGGGGGAGATTGGATAGTGGAGGGGGAGATTGGGAAGTAGAGGGGGAGATTGGGCAGTAGAGGGGGAGTTGTGGCAGTAGAGGGGGAGATTGGAAAGTGGAGGGGGAGATGAGGCAGTAGAGGGGGAGATTGGGAAGTAGAGGGGGAGATGGGGCAGTAGAGGGGGAGATTGGGAAGGGGCAGTAGAGGGGGAGATTGGGAAGTAGAGGGGGAGATTGGGAAGTAGAGGTGGAGATTGGGAAGTAGAGGGGGAGATGAGGCAGTAGAGGGGGAGATTGGGAAGTAGAGGGGGAGATGAGGCAGTAGAGGGGGAGATTGGAAAGTAGAGGGGAGATGAGGCAGTAGAGGGGGAGATTGGATAGTGGAGGGGGAGATGGGGCAGTAGAGGGGGAGATGGGGCAGTAGAGGGGGAGAATGGAAAGTGGAGGTGGAGATGAGAAAGTAGAGGGGGAGATTGGAAAGTGGAGGGGGAGATTGGGAAGTAGAGGGGGAGATGGGGCAGTAGAGGGGGAGATGAGAAAGTAGAGGGGGAGATGAGACAGTAGAGGGGGACATTGAGAAGTAGAGGGGGGGATGGGACAGTAGAGGGGGAGATTGGGAAGTAGAGGGGGAGATGGGGCAGTAGAGGGGGAGATTGGGAAGTAGAGGGGGAGATTGGAAAGTAGAGGGGGGGATGGGACAGTAGAGGGGGAGATTGGGCAGTAGAGGGGGAAATGAGAAAGTAGAGGGGGAGATGAGACAGTAGAGGGGGTGATGAGAAAGTAGAGGGGGAGATGGGACAGTAGAGGGGGAGATTGGGCAGTAGAGGGGGAAATGAGACAGTAGAGGGGGAGATGAGAAAGTAGAGGGGGAGATGAGAAAGTAGAAGGGGAGATGAGACAGTAGAGGGGGTGATGAGAAAGTAGAGGGGGAGATTGGAAAGTAGAGGGGGAGATGAGACAGTAGAGGGGGAGGTGAGAAAGTAGAGGGGGAGATGAGAAAGTAGAAGGGGAGATGAGACAGTAGAGGGGGAGATTGGGAAGTAGAGGGGGATATGAGAAAGTAGAGGGGGAGATTGGGAAGTAGAGGGGGAGATGGGGCAGTAGAGGGGGAGATGGGGCAGTAGAGGGGGAAATGAGAAAGTAGAGGGGGAGATTGGAAAGTAGAGGGGGAGGTTGGAAAGTAGAGGGGGAGATGGGGCAGTAGAGGATGAGACGGGGCAGTAGAGAGGGAGATGAGGCAGGTTAACTTTAGAAGCCTCACATTATGTGGAGGATCTGTAGACCTAAAAAAGATTCTTCACTCTTTCACAGCTGATTTACAAAAACGGTTTGGTCACAAAAACCCATTGAATGATTCTGTAATGAACCAATAGTGGTTCTTTGAAGGCATCGTTCCAAAATGCCCTCCTTGGCAACTTCTGTTAAGAGTTTATGGTGAGTGAAGAGTTTTGTATCTGTGTGCTTTGGACAGCAGTAGCCAGTACGTTTTTAAGGCTGAGATTTGGTCCAGTATTGACTCTACAGCGCTGGACGTTATTGTTAATGAAGTGCTTTGCTCTTCTTCTTGCACTAATGATCCTCCAGGGTAGCAGAGCTTTGGGATGTTTCTTCATTGTGCGTGTTTGTCATTTTCTGTATAAAGACACTGCAATACAGATTCTGTATCATCAGCAGAGTGAAGAGATGATGACCTTGGGACAGAAACAGAGAAGGCCAGACACACAAACACACTCACTCACACAAACAGGCACACAGAGCTTTGCACTGTTAATTTAATGATGTCACTTTAATCCTCTGGTTTTGTGTAGCATATCCATAAAGTGTGCACTCAACCCTGCTTACTGACACACAGACACAGTTCCTAGCTATGAGCATCACATTACTGTGTCGTGTATGTTTATCTTTCTATAGGATCCAGTCTGCTGCCCATTATATCCTGTCCTGGAACTTCATATATATTAAATTACGGAGTCATCTGAGACCCCTGCCTGTGTGCATAGACTCTAATGTGCATCACAGATGGCTGAAATTGATGGATTGGGCCCTGAGAGTATATTGATCCATATATATTGCTGGAGAGCTTTTTATTTATACACCATCAGTGATAATTTGGCTGCCTTGAGGAACAGAAGACAAACCAGATCTGAACAGCTCAGTCACAGACATTATAGTAGAATATTATAATGTATTATACAGTGTAATAGTAAAGAGTGAGACGGCTTCTATTACATCATAATGGTATAGAGTGAGACAGCTTCTATTACATCATAATGGTATTGAGTGAGACAGCTATTACATCATAATGGTATAGAGTGAGACAGCTATTACATCATGATGGTATAGAGTGAGACAGCTATTACACCATAATGGTATAGAGTGAGACAGCTATTACATCATAATGGTATAGAGTGAGACAGCTATTACATCATGATGGTATAGAGTGAGACAGCTATTACATCATAATGGTATAGAGTGAGACAGCTATTACATCATAATGGTATAGAGTGAGACAGCTATTACATCATGATGGTATAGAGTGAGACAGCTATTACATCATAATGGTATAGAGTGAGACAGCTATTACATCATAATGGTATAGAGTGAGACAGCTATTACATCATGATGGTATAGAGTAAGCCAGGGTTATTACATCATAATGGTATAGAGTGAGACAGCTATTACACCATAGTGGTAAAGAGTGAGACAGCTTCTTTTACATCATAATGGTATAGAGTGACACAGCTTCTGTTACATCATAATGGTATAGAGTGAGACAGCTATTACACCATAATGGTATAGAGTGAGACAGCTATTACACCATAATGGTATAGAGTGAGACAGCTATTACACCATAATGGTATAGAGTGAGACGGCTTCTATTACACCATAATGGTAAAGAGTGAGACGACTTCTATTACATCATAATGGTAAAGAGTGAGACAGCTATTGTTACATCATAATGGTAAAGAGTGAGACAGCTGTTATTACCTCATAGTGGTATAGAGTGAGACAGCTGTTATAACATCTTAATGATATAAAGTGAGACAGCTGTTATTACACCATAGTGGTACAGTGAAAGACATCTGTTATCACGTCAAAATGGTAAAAAGTTTGGTGGCTGTTATTACATCATAATGGTATAAAGTGAGATGTCTGTTATTACATCATAAGAGTGAAACAGCTGTTATTACATCATAACAGTATTGAGGAAGACGACTGTTAATCGTAACGGTAATGAGGTATTATATCATTTTGGTACAGAGTGACTTTGTAGCATTCTGAACCTTTAGCATGCTAGGCTACTTCTCAGGATTGTCCTCAGCTGTCCGTGTTCAGCACTTCTCTTTTATCCTTTTGTTTGTTTTCTTGACCCACACTTTCACTCTTCTCCTCAACTCCTCCCCCAGCACTCTCAGTGGCGCAGTAGCCCCCACGTCTCCTCACATTTTCTCAATTACAGCATTTTTTAAAAGCGAGTGGGTGATCACTTGAGTGACAGATTATAAGAGACATATTTAAAGTGTCATTTTTCAAATTA